AGCAGCCACATCCAGCAGAGCAGACTCAGGAGGGAGAGCAGGCCAAGGAGACAGAGCCGGCATCTCAGCCAGGTGACACTGAGGTCGGAGACATAGAGGAGGGGTTCTCGTCCACCTCTAAGACCATAGGGTCTGCCTCCAGTGACTCATCTGGACTTGAGGGCCACCACGGCCAAGCAGGTGCAGCAACTCAGATTTGTGGACTTTGAGCAATGGTTCCCGCCGAGGAGGGATGACAGAGCTTTAGAGGGCTTCTACACACCACTGCAGGAAGATTTTTATAATGCATATCTTAACAGTGGGACAGTATTCAGATCTCAGAGGGTGTGCAACATTGAGTCCATTGTAGTAGCAGCTGGAGAGCATATTCGCCCTTACCTATCTTACTTGCCAGGGCTGACAAACTTACTCGGACGGAAAGGTTTATATGTTCCATCTTGGGTCCGTGAGTTCTATGCTACACTTTGGATTGACCCGCAGCACAGATTCATTCACTTTGCATTCAAAGGCAGATATTACAGGCTGATGAGCTTCAGGGTCAGGGAGATACTCAGGCTTCAGGAGTAGCCCGTCTGGCTACATGAGGTTTGCTATAGACAGACAGTGCCTCCCAGACGCCCTCATGACTGTATGGTGTCTCCTATAGATTTGGTCCGCCATTGCTTCATAGAGCCTTTTGGCGATGGGTCAAGCAGGACACCCAGTGATCTCACTCCTACAGCTAGAGTGCTGGATGCTATTATGAGGACCCTACTTCTGAGGATGGGGTATCACGAGGGCTTGACTCGCATACAGTTATGGCTACTGAACTCTCTGATGTAGCAGACTGTGTTTAACATTTGGGATCTCGTTCTATCAGAGATGGAGGATACTATTGCAAAGGGGTTCAGGGTCACAGGCAGCTGCCATATGCTCACTGGATTACATTCTTGATCCACAGGGCAGTTACAGTGAGGCCACCTAAGATGCTAGCAGAGTACAGTGGTGCTACTACAGAGTTTCCTGCTTATAACATGACTCAGATGATCCGTCACAGCAGGCCACAGGCACCTAGCCAGCCACGTCATCGTCTAGAGGTGCCAGAGACTGCAGTCCAATAGGATGAGACCATCAGGGGTATTGCACCTACAGAGGAGGAGCTTGATGCTCAGCAGGAGGGGATGGTGGAGAGCGACCCCAGTGACAGCTCAGATGATGACTACTAGACTATCCCTCAGATGCCTCCTCGCCGTCATGACCATGAGGCCAGTAGCTCCAGTACAGCTCCACCTACACAGCAGATAGATCCTGCTCTACTTGCTATACTTGAGCGGATGAGGCAGAATCAGGCTCACCAGGCCCAGGAGACCGCTGCTACATTTGCACAGTTTCAGACTCGGTAGGATGAGTTTCAGCAACAGCAGCAGGCGATCTAGCAACAGCAAGCTATACAGCAGCAGCAGCAGCTCCTTGGATTTATGTAGCATGTTGTGACAGCTATTGGGGCTCCACCGCCACAGCCTTCACCCCAGATCGGCCAGCCTACCACCACTTCTATAACTCTAGCGTTATAGCCTAGTGGGCTTCAGAGTCAGGGACAGCCACCAGCATAGTTTTCTTCTCCTATAGAGTAGGTGTCCCAGTGGTTTGCCTCGCCAGTGCCAGCCCCGCAGTTCACACCTTTTCAAACGGGCTTCACACCGACTTAGACTTCCTCGCTGCTTGTGTCAGATACTTCAGTCTCTATGAGCCTTGGTGTTACCTTTAGTGAGTTGATAGGGCAGCCTACTCCGCCATATCTACATGTCCTAGGTCCTTCCACAGCTGCACCTATTACCGGGACTACAGAGACGCTCCCTTCCTCAGTTGCATCATCAGAGCCACCTACGTCAGTGATACCTACAGAGTCTCAGGCCGCACCAGTTCTTGATCTGACCTAGACTGCTTCAGCATCGCTTCCAGCTATAGAGGGTCATACAGCTCAGAGCTCAGGATCAGATGATGATGGCACCCAGTTCCAGCTCGCTCCTCGTACCTCAGCGCCCGACTCGTCCGCTGCAGCCCCACCGACCGACCCTTAGGTTTTGGTGTTTGACGCCAAAGGGGGAGAGGGATCGAGTATGTTAGACTTAGGGGGAGCGACATATTTAGGGAGAGTTTATCTATTAGCTTATCTATTATATTTGTCTTTTTATGTGTGATACACTATTATGCATTCGTGTGTTTACGTTTATGCATCAAACTATATTTATGTGATAGTAATATCTACGTGATCGTGATATATGACATGTGTGCTCTTTACTTTGAATTATTTATGTCATATCACTTTTGTTATGCTCATTTGCTTTGCTTCTTCGTTTTACTCCGATGCAAATGAGTTTTATTACTTGTACTCATGCTTATTTCATATCTTTTGAGTACATCATGTTGGCTTGGGTGATATAAGCTTGCCTAACTCTTTTGTTCTCATTGTCAAAAGCTTATATGAACCAAGCATGTTAAAAACCTTATCTCTTTCACATACTCGAGGTGGTATTGTCATCAATCACCAAAAAGGGGGAGATTGAAAGCATCTAGGCCCCTAGTTGAGTTTCGGTGATTAATGATAATACGTGATTACTGTGACTAACGTATGTTTTGCAGAGGCAATTAAGTTAGGTCACGGTAATGGCAATTGATTGGGCAATCATGGTTGTCATGCCCCTACGATGGAAATCGTTTTAGTTTTCAAAGGATGGACGACAAGGTTAAGGATGGACTAGTTCTAAGTGTCGTTTGGTGTTGAAGAGACACTTAGAGTAGTTTAGGACTTTGTTTTTCCTTTGACCGTACTATTAAGGGGGGTATGGACGGGTAGCTTGACCTAGGTGAGTCTAGTGAGTTAGTTGTGGTGCACACTTGTTAAATCTAGCACTAGGTAGCTCCTAAAAAGCCCTTAGATCAATTGGAGCAAACTTCATTCACATATGATTGCGAGTTGGAAGTCAATGGAGGGTCAAATGTTGACCGGACGCTGGTTCCAGTGTGACCGGACACTGGCGCAGAGTCCAGTCAGTTCATTTGATCAAGGTGAAGTCGTCTGGTGCGACCGAACGTTGGGTCCCAGCGTCTGGTCGCCTCCAGTAAGGTCCCAGAGAGGGAGAATCCTGATCGGACGCGTCCGGTCAGTGCTGATCGGACGCTGGTCAGGTTCCGGCTACTGATCGGACACTGAGCAACAAAGTGACCGGACGCTGGGGGTCCAGAGTCCGGTCAACATCAGTAAGGTTCTAGAGAGGGAAAATTGTGACCGGACGCGTCCGATCAGTGCTGACCGGACGCTGTCCAACGTCCAGTCACAACTTAAACACTGGATTTCGGGGAGAACTGACCGGAGCGTCCGGTCAACATGACCGAAGCGTCCGATCACCCCGCAGAGGCACATAACAGTTCGTTTTGAATGAGGGGTTATAAATACTTCCTCTATTCACTCAAGAGATTACTTTTGCTCATTCCAACAGCTGAGAAACACCCTTGAAAGTGCCAAGAAGAGCAAGGTCCTAGTGAGATGATTGAGATTTGAGAATCAAAGAGTGAGACCTCATTAGTGAAAGCAAGAGTAGCAAAGTGTGCATCCACCCTTCTCATTAGGGTTGTCGTGGTCAAGTGAGAGTTCGTGCTTGTTACTCTTGGTGATCGCCATCATCTAGACGGCTTAGTGGTGATTGGGAGCTTGGTGATCATCCGACTGAGCTTGTGGATGACCCAACTCAAGTTATGAGCGATTGTGGGTGATTCACCGCGACGGAGTGTCAAAAAATCAACCCGTAGAAAGCATTTGATCCTTGCGCGGATCAAGGGGGAGCTACACCCTTGCGCGGGTGCTCCAACGAGGACTAGTGGGGAGTGGCGACTCTCCGATACCTCGGCAAAACATCGCCGTGTTCCTTCTCCTCTCTTTACTTTGAGCATTTACTTTGAACAATTCAATTCTTGTCTTTTATATTCATAGAATTGTCATGCTAGAGTAGAATTGGAACATAGGTTGCTAAACTTTTATGCGTTAGATCAATAGAAACACTTTCTAGGTACAAGGGGTTAATTGGGCTAACCATAGGATTTAATTATTGCAAAGAATTTTAGAATTAACCCAATTCAACTCCACTCTTGAACATCTTAATCCTTTGAGAGGTGCAAACAAAACCTCGAAGCATAAAAGAACTTGGCTTAGACAAGTCCGATTGTGTTGCCACGTATGAGTATGGGAAGGAACAACTACAAGATGTATTGAATAGAGTATCTTCTAGAGTTTCTCTAACTGCAGACTTGTGGACCTCCAAACAGACATTAGGCTATCTGTTTGTCACTTGTCGTTTCATCATGGATAATTGGATAATCCACACAAAAAAATATAAGTTCGCCCTCGTAGAGACACCTCACGATGGTAGGAACATTATTAATGCAATGTTTAAGAGTTTGAATGAGCGGAATCTGGAATATAAAGGTTTTACAATAGCATTAGACAATTCTTCAAATAATGATCCCTTTGTGAAGTGTTTGTAAGAAAATATAGTAGCCAAGCGTTTGCTTCTAAGTCAAAGCGCCTGTAGTTTGTCTAATTGACTTCTTCCTTATTGCTAATTTAGGCTGCAGTTTGCCTAATTGACTTGTTTCTTATTGCAAATTCAGGCACCTGCATGATCTCCATGCATGTTCCTACGCCTAACTCCTGCCTGCATGATCTCCTTGGCCTCTTCTTGCCTAATTAGCCCCTATTTCTGCGCCTATAACTATTCCCCACCATAACATATAAACAAAGATAGAGCAAGTAAAAATAAGTAATTTTTATTTGTCGTAGGTATTCAACATGAATTTCTACTAGTCATGTGACATGTCTCCCAAGGTTCTAACTCACACTGGCTGATTGACTAGTTACAAATAATTGCACTGGTCGTGGTCCCGTGAAGAAGAGAAAAAAAATCATGGTATCATAATAAAAATACACCTATTGCATCGGATGCACAATTGCACTGTACCGTACGTTATAAAGGCACTCCTCGACGTTTCCTCCCTGACAAGAGAACATGCTGACGCATACCCTGATCACAATTTGGAACAAAGTGACCAAAACAAGTGTGAGGTGGTATCCTTGATTGCCATATAATCATAATGAAGTCCCCTTTTGGCCTAGCAGTAGGATCTACCGTAAGTTCTCGAATTGTCACCTTTGGTAGTTCCTTCTTTACTGAGTCATCATGGGCTTTTGTACTCCACGCCAAGTGAAATGGAGAACCAGGGGTTAACTCTAGGTCTGTCATGTCTACATGATGACCCCGTTCAGCAAGTGCTTTAGGATACGCGCCAAAAACGGACATGTTTCTCTCAGTTATTCTCCTAATCTTGTTTAGCATGCAAAGCCAGAAACGTACGTCGAGATTCGTTCTCAAGGCTTCTCCAAGCACATTTGCTGTGACAAGTGACCATCCCAGTTGCAACTCCTTGGATAATTCGTCCACGATTCTTAGCAATTGAAGATGTTCCATGGGGTTTGTGCTTCCGAATGCGAGTATCTTGAAAAGGTACCTGAACTCCTCATATGGCAGGGTATTGAGAAAAATTGGCTTGACAGTTGCAATTTTTTCGAATTCTCTATGCTTGCTGATGATCACCACCTTGCTTCCTTTCTTCATATTTGTCACAGACGAATAAAATTTTACCCAGTCCTCCTCATCCACTACTCCTGAATCAAACTCAACAACTATCAAGATCTTGCCCTTTGCCAGCCTTTCATGTTCTTCTTCTACTCTAAAAAGATCACCTTCATTCAAGTGTAAAATCAAAGAGAAGTGTGAAGTAACCCTCTTGTCATTGCATACATGAGCGACCAGAGTTCTTTTTCCTACCGAACGATCGCCGATCACCGAAAGAACCGGCGGCGGTGAACCAGCTGAACTGTTCTGGTGCAACAAGAAGTTGAGGAGCCTTTGCTTTTCAGCATGACGCCCAAACATGAAATTGTCGATGTAAAGATGCGCATCGTATGGTCGACGCGACAAGCGTTCACAGCCACCCAAAAGCACAACAAATTCTGCCATGTGAGCAACAGCAGTTTCTAATCTGTCCAGTGTATCATCCAACGACTGATCAAGGCTAACGGCCTTGGCCTTCCTTCCAAAAGTAAGTGTACGACAACGTTTGGGAGGACTTCGAAAAGACAAGGCAGATGTGTTGCTAACCTCCTCCATCAAAGGATTAGGCCTTCCACAGCTGAAGCTGTCTAGCAGGCGGTAGCCTCGGTACATGGCGTCTGCGAGCACCTGCAGCTGTTCCACCATCCCCGAGTTGGTGATGTACCGCCCGTCCGCCTCCTCGACGACTGTCCGAACCCTCAGGAGCAGATGCTGCAGTCTCCCCATCTTTTGCTCCTCTGACGCTGCGTTGTTGGAGGACTTGCTCATTAGGAAGGAGATGAACTGGCTCACGCCCTCACCAATCACTGCAGAGATGGCAATCTCCATCTTCTTGAAAAAAAATCACCTGCTGTGTGAGGAGCGGAAGGAGCGAGATAGGAGAGCCGAGAGCAGGTAGGAAATAACTTCGTTGGTATTTACTGGGGATCAAATTGGGTCACCATATATGTCTCGTCTCCATCTTGGAATCATCAGTTTTTTCAAAGATTTTGACTTCACCGCACCAAAGGAGACTAGAGAGGACCTTTCCTTGGTCTCTAGACTACTGGTAATGTAATAATGTTCATTGTTCATTCACACATAAGGCACGTTTTTTCCAAGAAGGGTGCCTCAATGACTTTTGTATTCTGTGGAAAACTTAGTGATTGATTCGGAATTTTTTACGATGATTCCATGACTTTTGTCTACTACTGTTGAAAAATTGAGCAATTGATGCGGGCTTTTAAAGGCAGCCAATTGATGCTTCCATGAACTAGCCCAAACATGAGACGAAATTAAAGTTGGGCGAGTAAGGAACGCAATTAGCAGATGAGAGTGTGTCCCTAATAAGTTACCTCGTGTGTCCTTTGGCGTGGGGTGAATTTTCCTTGCGCCCCTGATTATATAGGAACAAAAATTACAAGGTCATCACATATGTTGGGGGCCTTCTCGCTAAAGTCTGGATGCCTTCAAAGACTGAAAGACATCTGGATTACCAATAACCACGTGCTGGTTTACAGTAATGCAATAGTGGATCATTTTCTCGAGTTTATCAGATCTCAAGGCATTCTACACTTATCCATAAGGCAGAAACAGTAGCCCGACACCACCATGCTCAGTATCTCAGTAAATGTTGTTGTCGAACACCCAGGGTTCATGTTGGAACAGCTCGCGGCCGTTCATCTGCACCGCTCCCGAAGCGATATCAGCAGCTCGCTTCTGAGTTGCTTCAGCTTTCCTTGCAGCTTCCTCTGCATCCTGCAGGTCAGGAACACCAACAAAACATCAGATAAATGCCTCCTCTAACAGACGGTACAACATTTCCTCAGTCAGACAAAAAAAGTTTTAAACACCACAGATTAATCGTGGTATACATCAGAGCACCGACTAACTAAAAAGAATGCTTCAAAATCACTAGGTCTAATTAATTATGCTGCTTGGAACAAACAAATTACGTCAAAAGAGAACGAACGGACTTTCAGTAGCATCCGGTCTTAGTAAAGCATGGAATCTTCCCTAGCTTGCACCTGATACATGACAGAATAACAGCCACGAAGGGCATAGTAGAATACATCTGTAGAGTACAGTATCGACACGTGGGTGTGGAAAAAGTGAGCCAATGGAAGAAATAGACGCCTATAGATGGATAGAGACATTAAAAAGGATCTCCACAGTCCAGTGCAACCAAGTCAGCTCATTCGACTTTGCGCAATCACAAGGCAAGTTCAACCGACTAAGATTCCTAGGAGGTGGGCGACTAGTGGTGATACATGTTCAAGAAAGCTGCTGCCAGTCCAATCAAGAGAAATTTGGAAGGCGCAAAAACAAAACAAATGCAAATTCTTGGCAGGGGTGGCATTGCCAAACAAAATCCTAACCAGCAGACATCGTAAGAGGCAGTTGGTCTCTTGACCCACCCACTACGCAAGCTTTGCTATGCCAGCCAGGAAACTGAAAGCATATCCTGCATTCATGCTACATTTTTGTTTGCTTACTTGGACTGGGATGCAAAAATGCAAAGTGTTAATTCTATCCTCCAATGGATAAAGTTTCCATAGTGGATGGTGGGAGACAAACAGCAATTTATCCCTAAAGGAAAAGGAAAGATTTAAGGGCGGAGACCATTTATACATGCTAGAAATTGGGAAAGAGAAAAAACAGTAAAGTCTTCAAATTGAGGAGAGTTTCTCAAGGTAGACAACAGATCATTAACTAATACCAGCCTTCTCAAATGAATTACAGAAGACGATGACGATTTGAGTTCTCTTTGATTATATCACATCAGAAAGCTCATAAATTTAGATGCATTCTGCAAGACAAAGGTTTCCATGTGACACAATGAAAAACGAGGAAAAAACAGGAAGAGGAATGTGTAGCAAGAATCAAGAAACAAAGACCTATAATGTCAATACAACTTTGTCATATATGCACCCTACAAGTTTGCTTGACAGGTCCATATATGGAAGAGGGTGAATTGGAGATCATCACAAATCATATATGTAAAAGATATCTGTTCACTGAATCACTCTAATAGAGACAATTTAACTCATATTTTGAGGGGTGCCTCAATACAATTTCATATCAGCATAGAACCAATAGTACCAGTAAAAATCTCTGTCTTATCAAGTAATAGTATTCCACTTCACTCTAATGCACTTGGAATAGCAGAATAAAAATAAGCATATCCGGCTTATCATAATGCAACAATAACTGAACTCTTGATACACACCGCAGCACTCTCTGGATTTGTTTGCTTTAGTAAAGCTACATAAGATTTGCAGAAACATCCCACAGAAAAAGAAAAGAAAAACAAAGATGAAAGAGAACATGTTAATAGTGGCAACAAATAACACTGTGTCATGGAGATTGTAATTTCCTAGATACTTGATAATCACGCAGAGAAATGTCACGGCTCAAGCAGTGAACTGCCAGATGACAACATAACCTCAGGGTATGACAGTAACAAAATTCTCCCTACACTTAGCATGGACATCAATAGCCAGAGCCAGAAAAGACGATAAGAACTGCGTACAGGAATATACAGGATTCACAAAATGTGTGCTTCAAGTATAAATAGAAATACAGTGCATGAATTTGGCAAGCCCATTTGGTACTTGAGCAATAAGAATGTGAATTGTGAAGATCAAGATACGGATGAAACAATAATACCTACCCAGTCCTGGTAAGGTTACTGATAAAATAGTAACACTGCCTCACTTAAAGATGACTACATAGTTTAGAATATTTGATCAAAACAAGAAATTAATTAATCAGAAACTGCAATTATTCCATAACTGAAAAAACAACCAGCTCAAACTAGGGGGAGCAATTTAGATACTTGCCTTTATTTGTTACAAATACGATATAGCCATATAGGCTTCCCGTTTCAATTAAGAGCTGCCCTTCTATCTATACTTGTATTCATATCGTAAGAAATAGAAGAACAAATTATTCTTTGTATTCACAAGATTTCACAATTCTTTAGGCAATCCAAATGGCTAAATGAAATGAAATGGAATGACTTCTCGTACTTCTATAATGATGAACTGTCAGTTAACATCTAAGTAAATTCCCTGGCGTTGTAAAGGTGTCGCATCTTTGCCACGGGAATGAAGCTTAATCCACCGAATCAAAATCACCTCTACATGTTCAGCTTAGTAATCGGGAAATCCCTAGAGATCGCAAACCTAATTCAGCTACTGGCCCGACGGACAGGAAACTAGATCGAACCCTAAAAATTGATGGTAAAAGAAGTAGGCGAAGTTTTATTTGGGGGTAAGGAAGGAAGAACCTTGCGCTGCTTCCAGGAGAGGAACTGCGCTGCGGAGATGGGCTGCGCCCTTGTCGTGGTCGCGGGCTCGCCGGCGGCGGGCTGCGGCGGGGGAGTACCCTCGGCTTCCGCTCCCATCGCGAGAACGTGCGAATCTCTGGGGGGAGAAGTTGTGACGACTGGAATATACGGAGAAAAGAAACTGCCTACGGAACGGATCGGGCGCGATAGATCAAATCAAACCGGAACCCGTTTCTGTTGAGTTGTTCTCTCCAAGGAAATGGTAAAAAGGCAAACGCCGCAACGGTTTTGGTTTCCCACGTGGCCACGTGTATGGTTTCACACATAATTTTGATTGTGCCATCGAATTTTGGCAATTGGCGTGCACTTGCTTATTTGATCCCATAATTCCACATTCATACATGGCATCCATGGCCAAGCCCAAAGCTAGGTATGTTTAAATAGCAAGTTATAGCATTCAGTGAGGAGCTCTGCTCAATCGCTATATCCTCCTGTTTAATGAAGTACAATACTATTATAGTTGCATAAACAAAGTCAAAATCTGAAAGAGAGAATAAAAATATGAATTCGTTGTTAGTTAACTGACAGCTTGAATAGGAGACAGTAAACATGGTTGTTGAATAGCATCAATGTACACGATGTCTTGGTGATGTCTTTCTTCTGGTCACAATGACTGCGAACAGTTGCAAGATGATGTGTGTCGTATACCATAATAAAGGTACCCTGAGCAAGATTCGAAAAAATTGCTTAGACCTTGTAAATAACGAAACCAAAAAAAAACAGAGTAAACCCGCCCGCCACATCCGAGAGGCCTACTTGGACCGCCTGCCCACCTCGAACAAATATCCGTGTTCGCTTGGCGAAGCTCGGCCCAAATTTCACACCGCAAGGCCTCGGACGAGCTACCGATTCTTCGATTCGCCCGAGGCCCCGTGCCATGAGGCCTCGGACGAGCACTCAGTTACCGACTCGCCATGCCACGAGGCCTCGGCATCAACCCCATCACCGCCGCCTTGACCGATTTCTCTGATAGGATGTCACATCCAACCAACGCGTCCAACCACTCCCATGACGTCACCGCCGCGTCGGCCGCAATCTGGTAAATGGAGGGCCGACGAGACGGAGTCACATCGACGCCCTTGCATCCGAGAGAGACAGACGGGCGGGGTTACCGGCACGTGTTTCTCAGATCGCGCCCACTGGTGACACCCGTCTTTGCATTGTCTTTGCCTAACCCCTGCTCCAAGGACAGTGCGGCGTGGAGAGTCAAGTCCGGGTCCCTATAACCTCGGAATCGACGAACAAGACCAACTGCTCCCTCCGAGCCTCGGCTATCCACTTCCAGGGCTCCTGTAGCCTCAGGACTCGCGCCCGCCGAGCCCCCACGACGGTCCAGCCTCTGCATCGACTAGGCCACGGCTATCCACGTTGTCAGCACTCTGGGACCGGCACGTCGCCCGCAGAACGCGCCATACCCTGCGTCGGGCTGCAGGAGCTCCCATGTCACGCACAAGGCCTAGCTCCTGTAGCCTCGGAATCAGCGTACCCGCGCCATCGCATCAACCCGCCCTCGGCACTCCGCGCCGGTCAAACATACAGTAATCAGCACGCCTCCAACAAAAAGAATGTGCGCCTGCCACCATAGGAGCTCCCACGTCGCACGGATCAAAGCGTTACCGGCGCGTCGCTCCAGTGCACGGAGGACAAGACCGCTCCACCGACCACGCCGCCATAGTGACAAGCTGCAGGGCTCGGACATGCCGCCCCTGCCGAGGAACGCCACATAGCAAATACATGTACCGCCCCGGTGCCTCCCTTCGACTATAAAAGGGAGTGACCAGGGCCGCTTCTAAGGGAAGACACACAGGCAAGCAACGGGCAACGCTCTGTAACACACACTCTCCCTCACTGCAAGAGATCAACATCTCAAACAACTCATGCCACTCCACGCAGAGACCTGGGACTAGCTCCCCCTCTCGCTCAGCTTGTAAGCCCCTACTACAAGCACCTCGGTGCAAGGAATACAAGATCGCTCTCTCAGACTGGATGTAGGGCACCTATTGCCTGAACTAGTATAAACATTGTGTCTCTTTGCATCACCATCCGGCATTAGGAACATGCAGTACACTTTCACTAGTTGGTTGAGGACCCCCCCGATCCAAAACACCGACAGTTGGCGCTCCAGGTAGGGGGCTACTGTGTGTCAGCTTAGTCATCCCAACAGATTCTAGATGGCAGACCACGTGCGACCACTACGTCTCAGCACAATGATCTAGTTCAGGAGCCTAGAGTTCATGTCTCTAGGATACGAGTATGACATGGTACTCCTCCCACCCAGAGTCCTATCGACCGACGACGACATCACGCACCAGCAGCCTAGGCGCGGGCGGCGCCCGGGCCGCCGCTCTCGTCACGCTCGCCAGGCGCGACGCGGGCAGGACCACCCCAACACTGTGCGAGCTCAGGGCAACGCACCGTGCTCCACCAGTATCCCATACCCGGCTGTTGGTACATAATTCCTGGCTGGGGACCTGTCTAGCTTAAGCATGGGCAAGGGAAAGACGCCGGTGGCGCGCAGCAATGCCTCGTCATCAAGCTCTGTCCCGCCACCCCCTGAGGAGTCGACTCTGGTGGAGCGAAGCCCGGCGACGACATCATCCCCATACCCCTTCGGGTTGGGCAATGCCGCCGCCGCCTACCAACGTTTTGCCCTCGATCTCATCGCCACAACCCCGACCCACACCCACGCTGACTCCTCGGAGGAGGACGAGGCGTGGGCCGGAGCGAACTTCTCCGGGCTTCGCGACCCTAAAGCCATGCGCCACTTCATAGCCGCGAGCAACTACTGCTTCGGCTACTCCGACTCCGATGACGAAGACACTTATGATCCCACTTGTGAGTGCTTCAACGTCAACCTTGGGATGCCAAGCGCGGGCGATGAGGACGAAGGGGCAGGCAATCGCCCCCCACCCCACGAGGGGGCAGGCGATGCCACACCTTCATGCGTCGAGCCCCAGGCAGCGCGGAACGAGAACCCCACCCCCAAGGAACTTCGACGCCTAGACCTGGAGTAGCTCCGTGAGCTTCAGGCCAAGGTCGAACAAGACCGACTCCTTCTGCAGCAGCTCCGAGACACTCTCGAGCAGGAGCAGCGAGGTCGCGGTGATGGCGGAGCAGCCCGGCGAAGGGCTCGTGACGTCAACCACTGCATCAACAACGACGAAGGGGGCGAGCAACCCCCAATCTTCAATCGCGCTAGCTAGAACATCGCGGCAGCAGTGATGCTACTCCAAACAATGCCCGAGCCCTCTACCTCGGAGGGGCGATGGGTCCACGGCGAGCTTCGAGACCTCCTCGAGACTGCCGCGGTACAGCAGGCCGAAAGTTCTTCCTCTCGACGGTGCGGGGGCGCCTCAGAACTACCCACGGCACCGCCTCGGCAGGATAGAGAGGCCTCGGTTCGTCCCAAGCCCGCTCGGGCACCGAAAGCCAACAAGGCCCCCTCGGTGCACGACCGCCTCAGCGACCGACGCGAGGCGCAAGGCGACCATGATGTGGTCAGCAGGCAACGGCGCCACGACAACGATGGGCCCGCCCGAGGCTACCACCCGCACCGAGGCGGTGGCTACGATAGTGGGGAGGATCACAGTCCTTCTCCTAGGCCCCCTGGTCCATGAGTCTTCAACAAGGCCATCCGCGACGCCCACTTCCCGGCCCGGTTTCGACAACCGGCCAACCTCTCAAAGTACAGCGGCGAGACCAACCTCGAGCTGTGGCTGGCCAACTACCGCCTGGCTTGTCAGCTAGGCGGCGCGGACGACGATCTGCTCATCATCCACAACCTCCCCTTGTTCCTGTCAGACTCGACGCGAGCCTGGCTCGAACACCTCCCTCCCTTGCAGATCAACAACTGGCATGACTTGGTAAAGGTCTTCATCGGAAATTTCCAGGGCACATACATGCGCCCCGGGAACTCCTGGGACCTCAAGAGTTGTCGCTAGAAGCCGGACGAGTCTCTCTGAGACTTCATCCGACGCTTCTCCAAGCAATGCACCGAGTTGCTCAGCGTCAGCGACTCGGAAATTGTCCAGGCATTCCTCTCTGGCACCTCCTGTCGAGACCTGGTCCGAGAATTAGGCCGGAACATACCGACCACGGCGGCCTCGCTCCTCGACATCGCCACCAATTTCGCCTCGGGCGAGAGGCTGTCGGGGCCATCTTCCCCGACAACGACGCCAAGGGGAAGCAGAGGAACGAGACCCCCAGGGCCTCGGCCCTCCACCTCCCTAAGAAAAAGAAAAAGGGTCGCCAAGGGAAGCAGGAGGTCCTCGAGGCTGATCTCGTCGCGGCCGCGGATCGCAAGAATCCCCGAGGCCCCGCTAGAGGCCCCGGGCTCTTCAACGACATGCTTAAGAAGCCCTGCCCTTACCATCAGGGCCCGGTGAAGCCACAGCTCCCAGTGGGGGGCAATGCCTAGGTACCCCTCGCAGACGGCAACGAAGATGGCCGCCTGCGCAATGGAGTTGGGGTTGAAGTTGTGGAGCTCCACGCCGTAGTAATGCGGGAGTGCCCGCATAAACTGGTCCACCGACAAGACGAGGCCGCGCTCGTGGAAGGCCACGCTCATGGAAGGCCATGAAGCTCATGATGTAGTCATCGTGAGGCCTTGGCTCTGGCTTGCTCCCCGGAGCAATCCACTCTGGCCTGTCGGGGTCGGTGACCGAGCGGAGGAGATCGTCGTTGACGAGCGACTGCAGCGTCTCCACGGACATGTCGGACGGACCCCAAGGATCTGCCTAGAGGACAACAGCGCCACCTACCATGGGAGTGATGGAGAATGCGATTACAGCGGTAACGCGTACTCTTGCCCTCTCTCTCTCTCTCCTCTCCTCCCCTTTCTCCCTTCTTCTCCCCGGCGCTCTCTTCCGCTGTTCTTAGCAACTGCTCGAGGGCATAAAGCGCGAGTGCAGGCAAAAAAGGTAAGGAGGGGCAGGGTGTGGCTCGTCATGTTTTTATTAGGGAGGAAAGAAGGCAAACGGGCGGGCGATGAAACCGGAAGATTATCTCCTAGATCTGACGCAGTTAATGCGGATCCGGCCAAACCGCCCACGTGCCCT